TGATGTATTGACAAAAGTTGCTACAGGCTGAGATGCATCCAACGTGATACTGAACCCCCTGTACCCCCCTATGAAAAATTCTAGCAAAATCGATTTTTTTTAAAAGCTTCAATTTTGTTTTTTCACTCAACCTAGAACAAGTGTTTTAGACCTCAAAACAGATGTGAACTTAAAAGTGATGTATTGACAAAAGTTGCTACAGGCTGAGATGCATCCAACGTGATACTGAACCCCCTGTACCCCCCTATGAAAAATTCTAGCAAAATCGATTTTTTTTAAAAGCTTCAATTTTGTTTTTTCACTCAACCTAGAACAAGTGTTTTAGACCTCAAAACAGATGTGAACTTAAAAGTGATGTATTGACAAAAGTTGCTACAGGCTGAGATGCATCCAACGTGATCCTGAACCCTCTTAACCCTTCTATGAAAAATTCTAGAAAAATCGAGTTTTTTCAAGGGCATAAAATTTTTTTTTCACTGAACCTAGAACAAGTGTTTTAGACCTCGAAATAGATGTGAACATAAAAGTGATGTATTAAAAAAAGTTGCTACAGGCTGAGATGCATTCAACGTGATATTGAACCCCCTGTACCCCCCTATGAAAAATTCTAGAAAAATCGAGTTTTTTGAAAAGCTTCAATTTTGTTTTTTCACTCAACCTAGAACAAGTGTTTTAGACCTGAAAACAGATGTGAACATAAAAAAGATGTATGGACAAAAGTTGCTACCGGCTGTGATGCATCCAACGTGATACTGAATCATCTGTACCCCCCTATGAAAAATTCTAGAAAAATCGAGTTTTTTGAAAAGCTTCAATTTTGTTTTTTCACTCAACCTAGAACAAGTGTTTTAGACCTCAAAACAGATGTGAACTTAAAAGTGATGTATTGACAAAAGTTGTTACAGGCTGAGATGCATCCAACGTGATACTGAACCCCCTGTACCCCCCTATGAAAAATTCTAGCAAAATCGATTTTTTTTAAAAGCTTCAATTTTGTTTTTTCACTCAACCTAGAACAAGTGTTTTAGACCTCAAAACAGATGTGAACTTAAAAGTGATGTATTGACAAAAGTTGCTACAGGCTGAGATGCATCCAACGTGATACTGAACCCCCTGTACCCCCCTATGAAAAATTCTAGCAAAATCGATTTTTTTTAAAAGCTTCAATTTTGTTTTTTCACTCAACCTAGAACAAGTGTTTTAGACCTCAAAACAGATGTGAACTTAAAAGTGATGTATTGACAAAAGTTGCTACAGGCTGAGATGCATCCAACGTGATACTGTACCTCCCTATGAAAAATTCTAGAAAAATCGAGTTTTTTGAAAAGCTTCAATTTTGTTTTTTCACTCAACCTAGAACAAGTGTTTTAGACCTCAAAACAGATGTGAACTTAAAAGTGATGTATTGACAAAAGTTGCTACAGGCTGAGATGCATCCAACGTGATACTGAACCCCCCTATGAAAAATTCTAGAAAAATCGAGTTTTTTCAAGGGCATAAATTTTTTTTTTCACTAAACCTAGAACAAGTGTTTTAGACCTCGAAATAGATGTGAACATAAAAGTGATGTATTGAAAAAAGTTGCTAAAGGCTGAGATGCATTCAACGTGATATTGAATCATCTGTACCTCCCTATGAAAAATTCTAGAAAAATCGAGTTTTTTGAAAAGCTTCAATTTTGTTTTTTCACTCAACCTAGAACAAGTGTTTTAGACCTGAAAACAGATGTGAACTTAAAAGTGATGTATTGACAAAAGTTGCTACAGGCTGAGATGCATCCAACGTGATACTGAACTTCCTGTACCCCCCTATGAAAAATTCTAGAAAAATCGAGTTTTTTGAAAAACTTCAATTTTGTTTTTTCACTCAACCTAGAACAAGTGTTTTAGACCTCAAAACAGATGTGAACTTAAAAGTGATGTATTGACAAAAGTTGCTACAGGCTGAGATGCATCCAACGTGATACTGAACCCCCTGTACCCCCCTATGAAAATTTCTAGAAAAATCGAGTTTTTTGAAATGCTTCAATTTTGTTTTTTCACTCAACCTAGAACAAGTGTTTTAGACCTGAAAACAGATGTGAACATAAAAGTGATGTATTGACAAAAGTTGCTACAGGCTGAGATGCATCCAACGTGATACTGAATCATCTGTACCTTCCTATGAAAAATTCTAGAAAAATCGAGTTTTTTGAAAAGCTTCAATTTTGTTTTTTCACTCAACCTAGAACAAGTGTTTTAGACCTCAAAACAGATGTGAACTTAAAAGTGATGTATTGACAAAAGTTGCTACAGGCTGAGATGCATCCAACGTGATACTGAACTTCCTGTGCCCTTCTATGAAAAATTCTGGAAAAATCGAGTTTTTTGAAAAGCTTCAATTTTGTTTTTTCACTCAACCTAGAACAAGTGTTTTAGACCTGAAAACAGATGTAAACATAAAAGTGATGTGTTGAAAAAAGTTGCTACAGGCTGAGATGCATTCAACGTGATACTGAACCCCCTGTACCCCCCTATGAAAAATTCTACAAAAATCGAGTTTTTTCAAGAGCATGAATTTTTTTTCACTCAACCTAGAACAATGTTTTTTTTAGACCTGAAAACAGATGTGAACTTAAAAGTGATGTATTGACAAAAGTTGCTACAGGCTGAGATGCATTCAACGTGATACTGAACTCCCTGTACCCCCCTATGAAAAATTCTAGAAAAATCGAGATTTTTGAAAAGCTTCAATTTTGTTTTTTCACTCAACCTAGAACAAGTGTTTTAGACCTGAAAACAGATGTGAACCTAAAAGTGATGTACTGACAAAAGTTGCTACAGGCTGAGATGCATCCAACGTGATCCTGAACCCTCTTAACCCTTCTATGAAAAATTCTAGAAAAATCGAGTTTTTTCAAGGGCATAAAATTTTTTTTCACTGAACCTAGAACAAGTGTTTTAGACCTCGAAATAGATGTGAACATAAAAGTGATGTATTAAAAAAAGTTGTTCCAGGCTGAGATGCATCCAACGTGATATTGAACCCCCTGTACCCCCCTATGAAAAATTCTAGAAAAATCGAGTTTTTTGAAAAGCTTCAATTTTGTTTTTTCACTCAACCTAGAACAAGTGTTTTAGACCTGAAAACAGATGTGAACCTAAAAGTGATGTACTGACAAAAGTTGCTACAGGCTGAGATGCATCCAACGTGCTACTGAATCTTCTGTACCCCTCTATGAAAAATTCTAGAAAAATCGAGTTTTTTGAAAAGCTTCAATTTTGTTTTTTCACTCAACCTAGAACAAGTGTTTTAGACCTCAAAACAGATGTGAACCTAAAAGTGATGTATTGACAAAATTTGCTACAGGCTGAGATGCATCCAACGTGATATTGAACCCCCTGTACCTCCCTATGAAAAATTCTAGAAAAATCGAGTTTTTTCAAGAGCATGAATTTTTTTTCACTCAACCTAGAACAATGTTTTAGACCTGAAAACAGATGTGAACTTAAAAGTGATGTATTGACAAAAGTTGCTACAGGTTGAGATGCATCCAACGTGATACTGAATCCCCTGTACCCCCTATGAAAAATTCTAGAAAAATCGAGTTTTTTCAAGTGCATGAATTTTTTTCACTCAACCTAGAACAATGTTTTAGACCTGAAAACAGATGTGAACTTAAAAGTGATGTATTGACAAAAGTTGCTACAGGCTGAGATGCATCCAACGTAATACTGAACCCCCTGTACCCCCCTATGAAAAATTCTAGAAAAATCGAGTTTTTTCAAGAGCATGAATTTTTTTTTCACTCAACCTAGAACAATGTTTTAGACCTGAAAACAGATGTGAACCTAAAAGTGATGTATTGACAAAAGTTGCTACAGGCTGAGATGCATTCAACGTGATACTGAACCCCCTGTACCCCCCTATGAAAAATTCTAGAAAAATCGAGTTTTTTCAAGAGCATGAATTTTTTTTCACTCAACCTAGAACAAGTGTTTTAGACCTCAAAACAGATGTGAACTTAAAAGTGATGTATTGACAAAAGTTGCTACAGGCTGAGATGCATCCAACGTGATACTGAACTCCCTGTACCCCCCTATGAAAAATTCTAGAAAAATCGAGTTTTTTGAAAAGCTTCAATTTTGTTTTTTCACTGAACCTAGAACAAGTGTTTTAGACCTCGAAATAGATGTGAACATAAAAGTGATGTATTGACAAAAGTTGCTACAGGCTGAGATGCATCCAACGTGATATTGAGTCATCTGTACCTCCCTATGAAAAATTCTAGAAAAATCGAGTTTTTTCAAGAGCATGAATTTTTTTTTCACTCAACCTAGAACAATGTTTTAGACCTGAAAACAGATGTGAACTTAAAAGTGATGTATTGACAAAAGTTGCTACAGGCTGAGATGCATTCAACGTGATACTGAACCCCCTGTACCCCCCTATGAAAAATTCTAGAAAAATCAAGAGCATGAATTTTTTTTCACTCAACCTAGAACAAGTGTTTTAGACCTCAAAACAGATGTGAACTTAAAAGTGATGTATTGACAAAAGTTGCTACAGGCTCAGATGCATCCAACGTGATACTGAACTCCCTGTATCCCCCTATGAAAAATTCTAGAAAAATCGAGTTTTTTGAAAAGCTTCAATTTTGTTTTTTCCCTGAACCTAGAACAAGTGTTTTAGACCTCGAAATAGATGTGAACATAAAAGTGATGTATTGACAAAAGTTGCTACAGGCTGAGATGCATCCAACGTGATATTGAATCATCTGTACCTCCCTATGAAAAATTCTAGAAAAATCGAGTTTTTTGAAAAGCTTCAATTTTGTTTTTTCACTCAACCTAGAACAAGTGTTTTAGACCTGAAAACAGATGTGAACTTAAAAGTGATGTATTGACAAAAGTTGCTACAGGCTGAGATGCATCCAACGTGATATTAAACCCCCTGTACCCTTCTATAAAAAATTCTAGAAAAATCGAGTTTTTTGAAAAGCTTCAATTTTGTTTTTTCACTCAACCTAGAACAAGTGTTTTAGACCTCAAAACAGATGTGAACCTAAAAGTGATGTATTGACAAAAGTTGCTACAGGCTGAGATGCATCCAACGTGATATTGAACTCCCTGTACCTCCCTATGAAAAGTTCTAGAAAAATTGAGTTTTTTGAAAAACTTTAATTCTGTTTTTTCACTCAACCTAGAACAAGTGTTTTAGACCTGAAAACAGATGTGAACCTAAAAGTAATGTATTGACAAAAGTTGCTACAGGCTGAGATGCATCCAACGTGATACTGAACCCCCTGTACCCCCCTATGAAAAATTCTAGAAAAATCGAGTTTTTTGAAAAACTTCAATTCTGTTTTTTCACTCAACCTAGAACAAGTGTTTTAGACCTCAAAACAGATGTGAACCTAAAAGTGATGTATTGACAAAAGTTGCTACAGGCTGAGATGCATCCAACGTGATACTGAACCCCTTGTACCCCCCTATGAAAAGTTCTAGAAAAATCGAGTTTTTTGAAAAACTTCAATTCTGTTTTTTCACTTAACCTAGAACAAGTGTTTTAGACCTGAAAACAGATGTGAACTTAAAAGTGATGTATTGACAAAAGTTGCTACAGGCTGAGATGCATCCAACGTGATACTGAACTCCTTGTACCCCCCTATGAAAAGTTCTAGAAAAATCGAGTTTTTTGAAAAACTTCAATTTTGTTTTTTCACTGAACCTAGAACAAGTGTTTTAGACCTCGAAATAGATGTGAACATAAAAGTGATGTATTGACAAAAGTTGCTACAGGCTGAGATGCATCCAACGTGATATTGAGTCATCTGTACCTCCCTATGAAAAATTCTAGAAAAATCGAGTTTTTTCAAGAGCATGAATTTTTTTTTCACTCAACCTAGAACAATGTTTTAGACCTGAAAACAGATGTGAACTTAAAAGTGATGTATTGACAAAAGTTGCTACAGGCTGAGATGCATTCAACGTGATACTGAACCCCCTGTACCCCCCTATGAAAAATTCTAGAAAAATCGAGTTTTTTCAAGAGCATGAATTTTTTTTCACTCAACCTAGAACAAGTGTTTTAGACCTCAAAACAGATGTGAACTTAAAAGTGATGTATTGACAAAAGTTGCTACAGGCTCAGATGCATCCAACGTGATACTGAACTCCCTGTATCCCCCTATGAAAAATTCTAGAAAAATCGAGTTTTTTGAAAAGCTTCAATTTTGTTTTTTCCCTGAACCTAGAACAAGTGTTTTAGACCTCGAAATAGATGTGAACATAAAAGTGATGTATTGACAAAAGTTGCTACAGGCTGAGATGCATCCAACGTGATATTGAATCATCTGTACCTCCCTATGAAAAATTCTAGAAAAATCGAGTTTTTTGAAAAGCTTCAATTTTGTTTTTTCACTCAACCTAGAACAAGTGTTTTAGACCTGAAAACAGATGTGAACTTAAAAGTGATGTATTGACAAAAGTTGCTACAGGCTGAGATGCATCCAACGTGATATTGAACCCCCTGTACCCTTCTATAAAAAATTCTAGAAAAATCGAGTTTTTTGAAAAGCTTCAATTTTGTTTTTTCACTCAACCTAGAACAAGTGTTTTAGACCTCAAAACAGATGTGAACCTAAAAGTGATGTATTGACAAAAGTTGCTACAGGCTGAGATGCATCCAACGTGATATTGAACTCCCTGTACCTCCCTATGAAAAGTTCTAGAAAAATTGAGTTTTTTGAAAAACTTTAATTCTGTTTTTTCACTCAACCTAGAACAAGTGTTTTAGACCTGAAAACAGATGTGAACCTAAAAGTAATGTATTGACAAAAGTTGCTACAGGCTGAGATGCATCCAACGTGATACTGAACCCCCTGTACCCCCCTATGAAAAATTCTAGAAAAATCGAGTTTTTTGAAAAACTTCAATTCTGTTTTTTCACTCAACCTAGAACAAGTGTTTTAGACCTCAAAACAGATGTGAACCTAAAAGTGATGTATTGACAAAAGTTGCTACAGGCTGAGATGCATCCAACGTGATACTGAACCCCTTGTACCCCCCTATGAAAAGTTCTAGAAAAATCGAGTTTTTTGAAAAACTTCAATTCTGTTTTTTCACTTAACCTAGAACAAGTGTTTTAGACCTGAAAACAGATGTGAACTTAAAAGTGATGTATTGACAAAAGTTGCTACAGGCTGAGATGCATCCAACGTGATACTGAACTCCTTGTACCCCCCTATGAAAAGTTCTAGAAAAATCGAGTTTTTTGAAAAACTTCAATTCTGTTTTTTCACTTAACCTAGAACAAGTGTTTTAGACCTGAAAACAGATGTGAACTTAAAAGTGATGTATTGACAAAAGTTGCTACAGGCTGAGATGCATCCAACGTGATACTGAACCCCTTGTACCCCCCTATAAAAAGTTCTAGAAAAATCGAGTTTTTTGAAAAACTTCAATTCTGTTTTTTCACTTAACCTAGAACAAGTGTTTTAGACCTGAAAACAGATGTGAACTTAAAAGTGATGTATTGACAAAAGTTGCTACAGGCTGAGATGCATCCAACGTGTTACTGAAGCCCTTGTACCCCCCTATGAAAAGTTCTAGAAAAATCGAGTTTTTTGAAAAACTTCAATTCTGTTTTTTCACTTAACCTAGAACAAGTGTTTTAGACCTGAAAACAGATGTGAACTTAAAAGTGATGTATTGACAAAAGTTGCTACAGGCTGAGATGCATCCAACGTGATACTGAACCCCTTGTACCCCCCTATGAAAAGTTCTAGAAAAATCGAGTTTTTTGAAAAACTTCAATTCTGTTTTTTCACTTAAACTAGAACAAGTGTTTTAGACCTGAAAACAGATGTGAACTTAAAAGTGATGTATTGACAAAAGTTGCTACAGGCTGAGATGCATCCAACGTGTTACTGAACATTTGTACCCCCCTATGAAAAGTTCTAGAAAAATCGAGTTTTTTGAAAAACTTCAATTCTGTTTTTTCACTTAACCTAGAACAAGTGTTTTAGACCTGAAAACAGATGTGAACTTAAAAGTGATGTCTTGACAAAAGTTGCTACAGGCTGAGATGCATCCAACGTGATACTGAACCCCTTGTACCCCCCTATGAAAAGTTCTAGAAAAATCGAGTTTTTTGAAAAACTTCAATTCTGTTTTTTCACTTAACCTAGAACAAGTGTTTTAGACCTGAAAACAGATGTGAACTTAAAAGTGATGTATTGACAAAAGTTGCTACAGGCTGAGATGCATCCAACGTGATACTGAACCCCTTGTACCCCCCTATGAAAAGTTCTAGAAAAATCGAGTTTTTTGAAAAACTTCAATTCTGTTTTTTCACTTAACCTAGAACAAGTGTTTTAGACCTGAAAACAGATGTGAACTTAAAAGTGATGTATTGACAAAAGTTGCTACAGGCTGAGATGCATCCAACGTGATACTGAACCCCTTGTACCCCCCTATGAAAAGTTCTAGAAAAATCGAGTTTTTTGAAAAACTTCAATTCTGTTTTTTCACTTAACCTAGAACAAGTGTTTTAGACCTGAAAACAGATGTGAACTTAAAAGTGATTTATTGACAAAAGTTGCTACAGGCTGAGATGCATCCAACGTGATACTGAACCCCTTGTACCCCCCTATGAAAAGTTCTAGAAAAATCGAGTTTTTTGAAAAACTTCAATTCTGTTTTTTCACTCAACCTAGAACAAGTGTTTTAGACCTGAAAACAGATGTGAACTTAAAAGTGATGTATTGACAAAAGTTGTTACAGGCTGAGATGCATCCAACGTGATACTGAACTCCCTGTACCCCCCTATGAAAAATTCTAGAAAAATCGAGTTTTTTGAAAAACTTCAATTCTGTTTTTTCACTCAACCTAGAACAAGTGTTTTAGACCTGAAAACAGATGTGAACTTAAAAGTGATGTATTGACAAAAGTTGCTACAGGCTGAGATGCATCCAACGTGATACTGAACCCCCTGTACCCCCCCTATGAAAAATTCTAGAAAAATCGAGTTTTTTGAAAAACTTTAATTCTGTTTTTTCACTCAACCTAGAACAAGTGTTTTAGACCTGAAAACAGATGTGAACTTAAAAGTGATGTATTGACAAAAGTTGCTACAGGCTGAGATGCATCCAACGTGATACTGAACCTCCTGTAACCCCTATGAAAAATTCTAGAAAAATCGAGTTTTTTGAAAAACTTCAATTCTGTTTTTTCACTCAACCTAGAACAAGTGTTTTAGACCTGAAAACAGATGTGAACTTAAAAGTGATGTATTGACAAAAGTTGCTACAGGCTGAGATGCATCCAACGTGATACTGAACCTCCTGTACCCCCCTATGAAAAATTCTAGAAAAATCGAGTTTTTTGAAAAACTTTAATTCTGTTTTTTCACTCAACCTAGAACAAGTGTTTTAGACCTGAAAACAGATGTGAACTTAAAAGTGATGTATTGACAAAAGTTGCTACAGGCTGAGATGCATCCAACGTGATCCTGAACTCCCTGTACCCCCCTATGAAAAATTCTAGAAAAATCGAGTTTTTTGAAAAACTTCAATTCTGTTTTTTCACTCAACCTAGAACAAGTGTTTTAGACCTGAAAACAGATGTGAACTTAAAAGTGATGTTTCGACAAAAGTTGCTACAGGCTGAGATGCATCCAACGTGATACTGAACCCCCTGTACCCCCCTATGAAAAATTCTAGAAAAATCGAGTTTTTTGAAAAACTTCAATTCCCTTTTTTCACTCAACCTAGAACAAGTGTTTTAGACCTGAAAACAGATGTGAACTTAAAAGTGATGTATTGACAAAAGTTGCTACAGGCTGAGATGCATCCAACGTGATACTGAACCCTCTGTACTCCCCTATGAAAAATTCTAGAAAAATCGAGTTTTTTGAAAAACTTCAATTCTGTTTTTTCACTCAACCTAGAACAAGTGTTTTAGACCTGAAAACAGATGTGAACTTAAAAGTGATGTATTGACAAAAGTTGCTACAGGCTGAGATGCATCCAACGTGATACTGAACCCCCTGTACCCCCCTATGAAAAATTCTAGAAAAATCAAGTTTTTTGAAAAACTTCAATTCTGTTTTTTCACTCAACCTAGAACAAGTGTTTTAGACCTGAAAACAGATGTGAACTTAAAAGTGATGTATTGACAAAAGTTGCTACAGGCTGAGATGCATCCAACGTGATACTGAACCCCCTGTACCCCCCTATGAAAAGTTCTAGAAAAATCGAGTTTTTTGAAAAACTTTAATTCTGTTTTTTCACTCAACCTAGAACAAGTGTTTTAGACCTGAAAACAGATGTGAACTTAAAAGTGATGTATTGACAAAAGTTGCTACAGGCTGAGATGCATCCAACGTGATACTGAACCTCCTGTAACCCCTATGAAAAATTCTAGAAAAATCGAGTTTTTTGAAAAACTTCAATTCTGTTTTTTCACTCAACCTAGAACAAGTGTTTTAGACCTGAAAACAGATGTGAACTTAAAAGTGATGTGTTGACAAAAGTTGCTACAGGCTGAGATGCATCCAACGTGATACTGAACCTCCTGTACCCCCCTATGAAAAATTCTAGAAAAATCGAGTTTTTTGAAAAACTTTAATTCTGTTTTTTCACTCAACCTAGAACAAGTGTTTTAGACCTGAAAACAGATGTGAACTTAAAAGTGATGTATTGACAAAAGTTGCTACAGGCTGAGATGCATCCAACGTGATACTGAACCCCCTGTACCCCCCTATGAAAAATTCTAGAAAAATCGAGTTTTTTGAAAAACTTCAATTCTGTTTTTTCACTCAACCTAGAACAAGTGTTTTAGACCTGAAAACAGATGTGAACTTAAAAGTGATGTATTGACAAAAGTTGCTACAGGCTGAGATGCATCCAACGTGATACTGAACCCCCTGTACCCCCCTATGAAAAATTCTAGAAAAATCGAGTTTTTTGAAAAACTTCAATTCTGTTTTTTCACTCAACCTAGAACAAGTGTTTTAGACCTGAAAACAGATGTGAACTTAAAAGTGATGTATTGACAAAAGTTGCTACAGG